ACTCTAGATTCTTGAGTGCTACCCAAACTTCCCAAGTGCTTCATATCTCGACGAACGCACAGCTGATGCATGAACCAATTGTTTTAGTACACTTTCAACCCGATGGAAAATTTTTTTTTCTCGAGGGATTTGTTTGCGACGTCATGAGCGTGCACAATAGGAATATGAAGCACGCTCGCGCAATTGAATTTGATTAGACAAATTTACTAGCTATGTTCTAATCCGATTTGAAATTTTACATCACACTTCTTCTTCCATATATGTTCGTTTCGGCCAGGCACCAAAAATTCCTCACTTCCATAAAAATGCAAAGAAAGAAATACAGTCACACAAAATCTTCTCGGAGTGATGCAAAGTTGCATATTCCCGATTAAACACCTGTAGAGACCTGGATTAAACTGAGAAAATGTGACTGATTTCGTTTTCGGTCGTTTAGCAAAATAATGTCCCCACGTTAAATTTATATTAATGTTAGACAGGCCATTTTTTAAAGTTCTACAAATGGTTTTGCAGCATACCTTGATTTTCCCTCTTCTTGTCCTTTGCCCATAATAACAACTGAGAAATCTTAGAAATAAGGATTGATGTTCCACCCAACACGATTGGATGCTACAGTTATGCGAGCGGACCTGTTGTTCCTAATTATTTGGAGTACTTGTACTTACCGAACGACCTGTCGTGTTTATAAACCTATCTTGTCTTTCATATCAGGCACCTTTCGATTATTTATCAACAAAACGCCCATCAGCTGTCGCAAGTGAAACATAGTTGTTTCGATTTTGACGGGCTCTCAAATATGTATACAAACCTTTGTTTTTTCATAATGTTAATAATTCAGTCTGGGATAACAGCCAAGTATTGGATAACCAAATCGGGTTATTCTCGTGTCAATCACGTTTCTGGATCTGACGTTCGAATGTAGCCAGGTAAAATAGTATGTTGTTAATTCCATTTCGCTTTCATATGAGCGTGTAAATTCACTACGCTGCGTGCGGAAATCTCAAAGTTCAACGGTAAAATCTCAAAGTTCAACTGATGCCAAAACACAATTTTTCTGTCCAAACTGGTCTATGAGCCATTTACAGATTTCACAGTCTAGACTTGACATTCAACAAAATAATAGCCTAAAAAGGCAGATAGCTTCTCTGTCTTTTGTTTCTCGCTTGCGAGACAAAACGATGAAAGGTCATGAAATCGAGGTCTTCTTCTACGGGTCGGAAACCATTGGGCATTAGGATCCCTGTTTTTATTTCATAAAAGTTCATCAGTCTCAAACAGGCTTTCATAACAAGCTCTTAAAAATTCTAGAACTGTTACCGCGGTAATAAATAATATGGCAGTGATTACTTATTTAACTGTTTTGAACCTCTTTCTCAGTTTATTGTGCGTCCTTTATACGATTTTCACAGAACTAAACATCTTCCTTGCATTTGGACAAATCTGTAGAGAAAATCCACTTGAGGGGTCGGCCTGACGCAGGAAGTAAATACCAGGAGGGGCTAATTTTAGAAACTGTGTCCTTTTCATATAACTGATCAGTAGACGCAATATCTGTTGTCCACAGGTTTTCTTTACAGAAAAAACTAAAGGAAATAAACAAGGCTTTATTAGTAACAGTTTCAACTTAACACCTTCACAACACAGCGGAGTGTTTCTCATTAGGACAAAAAATCCCGAAATTTCGGTTTAAGGTCAATGTTAAGGCAATTTTCCGGAAATTCCGTTGGGAAATTGTGAAGTGCGTTCAGAGTTAATTCTCCTTTTCCATTCGGAAAGTAACGGTGGAAAATTCCTTTGCAATGAAATTATTCATATTGAAATGAATCCTCTTCATGTTTTCAGGCTAGAGGACGACGAAACGCCTAATGGATAAATGGTACGCGCAATTTCATCCGGTTGGTCGGTCGAATTCGGAAAATCCCCCACCATTGTGCAACAATTACACCGACCGTAATTCTCCAACAAATGGCAAGCATCCCTCTGGCTGTCTGCTTGGTAGGAAGTCTCAAGCACTTTAACAGTTTTGAGAAAAGTGAAGTTCGGTAATAACGGCATCATGATGATGCTCTTCTGTATCCAGAGCACACCCTTCACTCTTGGACCACCACTATACGAAAATGGCCTTAAAAACACGGCTGATGAAGTTTAAAGATATAAACAAATATATCCTACGCGATTCTGGCGTAATAATCTACTGTAAGCAGGCTGTGTTCAACGATAGACCCAGACATAGGAACTTGATTACCTTATTTCTTTTTCTAATAAATATCCTAAATTTATATTAGCTGCTGTGGTTTTCTTATTTTGACAGATTCATATTTCACGCCTCCAGAATCCTATATCCTTCACTTAGTCCACTGAGTTCTGATTCACGCGCACCGCCCAGCCACTCAGATATACAACTGAGACACTTCAAACACATTACAACGAGACTCATCAAAATAAAATTCGATCACCGAACTTTGGTTATGGAAAAAAGTCAAGTACAACATAGATTGTGATTGCAATTAACTTCTCATAATTATCATTACCAGGACCAAGGCCATTTGGTTAAAATGCATAAGAATGCTTTACCTATTCTGGACCTTGTCTCTAGTTACGTTGCGTGTAATTCCTTCGTTTAAAGCTTCATTTAAGTTTCGCTGAAAACGGCATCCTTAAAATTGCCTCTACACCTCATAAATTTACAAAAACTGATGCATTTCGGAGAAGAAAGAACGAATTAGGTTTCTCAATCTGTTATTTGCAATCTGTGTTCACTCTTAAACCCCTAGGAGTTACTTAACATCCTAGCTTCTCCTCACAAAATCACCCGTGAATCTAACATTAAAGTCATGGGAAGAAGCTCTTGATTGTTACACAAATTCTCAGCACCTTAAGACATGTACAGAGAACAGTGTGAAGAGTATGCGTACTGATGTTAGGGTGTAGAGGGTTAATCTTGGCCATCCCTAATCATCCTTTTTCACCGTCTTTTGGTTTATTCTCGTTTTTCATACATTATATGTATATACATTTATTTACTTCTCCTGTTACTTACATGGTGGTCAGTTGAAATTCCAAAAACTCTTATTACTTTTAAAATAAGGCGAATCACATTCGCCTTCTAATTGGTTCTTTTAGATGATCAATGATTAAAAAGACTGTGCTTCTTTATCACATACAACGAATAATTTCCATGTTGTCGTGAGTCTGTTCAGTAACAACTCACAGATGACGTCAAAATGTGGCCATAACATCAGTGCCACTTCCTTTCCTAGCACATTGTGACGTCGTCTGTGATCTATTACTGAAGAGATGCGTGGCAGCATAGGGTCTATTTCTTAGTTGAAATCGAATCACTTACTCAAGTTACGTATAAAAAACTATGTACAATACTACAACTGCTTATATGACAATTTTTACATATAAATAAGTTTTTAAACAACATAAAATTACGCTATTATTTAGCTATCGAAGTTTTCAAACAAAATTTTAACTATTTCTATCAGTCATCGCAAACTGTATTCGGTTCATAAAATATATCAAATAGAAGTATTTTAATGATTTCTTCTATTTAAAGGAAGGTTCTTCAAGTTGACATCATGAAAAATACCTCAAAAAACGTTTAGACATACCTACGTAAAGGTTAAAGAGAGTAATGCATTTTCAGCTTTGTCCCTCCGAAAAAAATCCCCATATACATTTGCCTGCTACAGTGGACCCTGTTTGCGATGAATAACAAAAAAACGATGGGAGTGTGGGAAAAACGTGGGGGACTAACCTCATAGATTTTCTCTTGCCCCCCTTATTTCCTCGCCTCCACTACAACTGACTCAGGCTATACGTGCATTTAGGGTAATTTAGAATTATCAACCGAGTTGATAACGTAAATTGGTCACCGTAAAGAGTTTCAAAGCTGACGTTTAGGGGATTAGCCCTTCGTGAGAACGACGCTTCGTCAAAGCATTAATCCTTCGTAGCGCAGCTTTGAAACTCTTTACGTTAGCTAATTTATGTTATCAACTCAGTTGATGATACTAAATTACCCTGTTATACTCTCCCACCAACGCAGCACCAAGGTTTCTTTAGAAACTTACCCCCTTTATACGTACATTAGTATATACAAGTTAGCCCTTATATACATGTCTTCCTGATACAAGTCCTTTAACTTTTCCACATCCTGGGTATTTTGCACGGCTAAGCCTCGTCCAGTATTTGAATACGTTGTCCATTGTACAGCCAACACGTGCGTATATTTGGCGTTGATTCACTCAGGTAAATAGTCTCTAGCCTTTATGAACTGCACTTCACTAATATGTAAGAGGTATCTTCGTCTCCTCTTATAGTTTAGTTTTATAGTGCTGCATGGATTCGTGATGCTGCCACACATCCCCCAGGGCTTTCGGATTTTTCAATGAACTTTTCATTTCCAGCGCACAAATCTCGAAGGCTTGCCGCATTTGGAAGGCACATCTCCTAGGAGGCATCCTGCCAACAGCTGTGCCAAGGCCAGGACATAACACACTGGTGATCTGATTCTGGATATTTTTTTCTGCTTTGTTGTGTTCCTTTACTGCCAAAAATAAGCAGATAAGATTGACATGTTAAAGGAAAAATATTTTCCTGTTCAGAAACTTGTGGGGAATGGGAGAAAGAAACACGGGCCTTAACGTTAGGGTGTTGATCTGACTGAAGCCCATGCTAAGCTCTCTGATTTGTTCAGCGGAGATGAGAACAGACTTTGGCCAAATGGCAAAGTTCAGGGGTTATCTTAGCCCACCATGAGTTTTGCTTGCCCACAATTCCAGTCATACACACAAACAACAAATGTATGGAACAGGCTACCTGGCTGAGGTCATAAAACCATGTTCTTCAAAGCCAGAAAGGCTGTAAGAACATTTCTTTACTTATTTCCTTGGTTTGTTGTATTCTCTTCATTCCATTGTTTTCTAAATTGGCAACTATTTGTTATTCATAGGTACCTAGTATTCCAAACAAGAATTGTTCTTGACAGGACAGGCACTTTTTCTTGAGTTCATGTTTGTATACCTATCAATAGCATTTGTGTTTGTGGTTGTTTTGCCTAACAGTCATTTTGCTAACAACCAGTTTATTAAACTCCTAGGTCATTTTGCCAACATCTCAGGTCAGTTCACATACATATACATTTCATAGGTTGTTTTGCTAACATATTGGTCTGTACTACAAAACATAGCATGGCTCCATTGGCAGAACTTAATTAACTTCTAATAGATGGAAAGCTGTAGAGGGAGCTGAGTCATTTCAATACAAACTGAAATCAATTCCATACAAGACTGACTAGCATGAAGTGACACAGTGGCATTATAGTAGGTGTCCTTGACCCCAGATTTCATAGTCAGATTTCAAGCCCAAGTCACGATCATACGTTCATATCTTGTGTTCTCCTGCAAGATGCTTCACCCTCACAGTGTCCCCTGCCCCTAGGGAGTCTACATGTAAATGGTAGTGGTGGCAATTTGTGCAGGAAACCTTGATAAATCTGCATGGGGTATGACCTTCAAGGAACTACCATTTTGTCTGGGAAGAGTAGCAATACTCCTTGTTCCTTGGTGATTTTGAAAAAGAGGTTAGTTCAGATATAGAGGGCCTGTGCAGTCCTCCAGATAACTACAGGCTTTAAATTTTACACTTAGAAATATATATAAAGTTCATTAAACTAACCAGCTCTTATGACTGCTCTGAATGCCAGATAAGCATTGACAGTATCACTAACATTCATCGGTATTCTCATTGTTGGTGTGCTGATGAGATACTTAATAAGTTTTCCTTCATTAAACTCAGGATTTTTAAACTTCTTCTCATTGTCATCTGGGGACAGTGTCTCAATAATCACAGCTAGACCTACAGGTAGTTCACCATCATGATTCTGTTTCAAAAATGCTTGGAGTCTGTGTTGCATTTGCCAGCCAAAGTGATTGATGTAAACCTGTGGTTCAAAACAACAACAGAGGCAATGATAATTAGACAAGGTGAAAGGGGGTGGCCAAAGGGGAGTGTCTAGGGTGCTATTTGTCAAGTGAAAGTGGCAATTTATCGTAATCATGATATTTGGGTACATCAGTGGATGATACTCATAATAAAGTTTTAGTTGTAGGAAAGAGGAGGGAGAGGACCTCGAGTGGAAAACTTTTCCTGGCAATGAAGAACCTATCCTGTGGACTACATACAGGAAAACCTCAATACAACATCCCTTTTGTTTAGTTCCCTTTTTTTCTGCAATATTTTAAATATTGCTTTTAAAATCTCCATAGGACCTGCCCCCAATAGGATAATTATTTATGTTGCCTTACCATGTCAATACCTCCATCCATGAATCCAAAACTGTTTGCTGGGGACACAATAGCATCTGCTGCAGGAGCCCCTTTAAAAATGTCTCCACAGGATATCTACCAAAAATTAAGTCAAGAAATGTCAAATCTTAAAAAAAGACAAAATCTAAGTTTGAAAAAATTGTAAAACGTGTCAATAAGTGTTATTCTCTCCATAAGTGTTACAGTAGTTTAATAGCTGGATTTGGTCAGATTAAATTTCATATTCCTGGGTTGTATATTTGACCCATTCAATTGGCATTCCTAATAAAGTCCACATCCTTAATGGCGGACGAGACCAGGCTGTTTTACGTGTAAGTAACAGCCCGCCATCTATGAAAGAATTTGGTATCAAATGAAATCATTCGCCTTTTCTAACCTTAACGGTATTGCTGTAAGGAGCAAATTCTTCCTGCCATGCATCAACCATTCCTGCCTTTATGTCCCTCAGATGAAAAATCACTTTCGAAATATCCATGTTTTCCATCCCTTTTCTGTTAGCTTCCGTTATTGAACATTTGAGCCTGCACTCACGTTACAGCGGTATCACCAATGTTGTTGGGAATTACAGAGATATTACATAAAGTAAAAAGCTGACAGCCCTAAAATGGCGAGTCCAATGATCGCACTGAGATTTTCCAGCCAAAATTTCTCAAGAAGTCTGGTAAGTTTTTAACAAATTCGACAATTTCTCAATTTTTTATCCTAATTTATCCTCCTTTTGCTTAATGAGCAACGCCTTTGTTTCGTAGTGCTGGAATGCGTCCATGAAGCTTTTCTCTACGGTACCAGGATTACACGTGGGTATAACGAATGTAACCATGTTAAACTTCTACAGTAAACCTGCCAAATTTACACTAAAAGTATATTTTTAGATTATCGGTACCATATTCAGCTATATTCTTGAAAAAGTTTCACTTCTTCTGGCTTTGGCTTCGATGATTATGTGGGGGCAAGTTTCTAAAGAAACTGTGGTGCTGCATCAGTAAGAGAGTATAACAGGGTAATTTGGTATATTCAACTGAGTTGATAACATAAATTAGCCACCGTTAAGAGTTTGAAAGCTTTCAAACCCTTTATGGCGGCCAATTTACGTTGATAATATTAAATTACCCTTTTATGTGCAATTAAAAGGTAATTTTGATTTTAAGAATTTGCATCGTCATTCAACGTAGTAATTTTGTTTTCTTTACATTGTTATCGGTTTTATGGTAAAAAATTGACTTACTTGAAATTAATTGTTATTTTGCCGATGGCAGTTCATAAGAATGAACCTAGATACAAAGTTTTGAACTATGTCTTTTGGTTGTTTCAATTTTCAGGAGGTGGTTATTGCAAGTGCAGTCAGAACACCAATAGGATCCTTTAGAAGTACACTATGCAATTTTCCAGCCCCAAGATTAGGAACTATTGCAGTAAAGGCTGCAGTAGAAAAAGCAGGTGTTGTATTTGTTGTATTAAGGGGAATTTGAACCAGGTTTTCCTTCAGTCGTTTTAGTGCCTCTGGAGAAACACTGTTTTTATTCTTTTCATTGACTAAATTAGAGTTTTTATTAACATACTTTGTACTAATTACTATGAACTAATTTTGACATAAATCTTTTTTTATTTTTTAAGCAGTTATTTCTCATCTACATTGTTAGCCATCACCAACTTGTGTTCAGTTAAGACAAGTTTAACTTAATTTAGCTGTGTTTTAGAGAGAAACTTACTTTAAAGACTCAAGAGGTGGATTTTTCAGTGTGTAAACCCAGTTAAAATTAGTATGCAGCACAAGAAATTTCTTGCTCTCGGAAGTCATTTGCTGTTCTATATGTGAAATTGGTTACCAGTTGTTTCATAACCACAGTTGTTTCGTACCCAGTTGATTCGTACCCTGCAAGGAATATTCATACCCATACTAGTAAAGAGTTTTTACCCTGTTTAGCATGTTTGAAGTAATAACAATAACAATGAACTTATATTGAGATCCAATATTTTATTGTCAAAGCCTCAATTTTTAGAAATCATAGACAGAAAGAAATGACAATCTTCTGTTTTCTATTGGGAATACCAACTAATGTATGTCTTTGTTTTTAATAGTAAAGGGAGGGAAAATGACACTGTCCTTGTGTGAGGAACTGTTTAACTGTTAATGTTAAGAAAGTCACAAGTATAAACAATACTTTACTTACCTTGTGTTAGGCAATAATTTAAATGTTTTTCTCTAGAAGGTCACAAGTATACAAATCAGAATTGTATTTTTATCTTACCTGCTTGAGTCTACTGACATGCTGTATACAATTGATATCTTTTCTTATGCACATATGAGATATTTCAATTGAATGAATATTAAGACAAGTATGGATTGCCCAGAACTTTAGGTTCAAACTGAGTCAAACTGGGTACAAATCGTCTGAATTTTAGTACAAAACAACTGTGGGTACAGAATGACTGGATACTGATAAATTGGCTTGGCTTACACTGTAAATACTTAAAACTGATAAGTCTCTGATGTTGTTTTTTCCCCTCAGTCCAGTTCTCCTTCTCAATGTAACCTAGGAATGTAGTTGTCAATAATGCAGAGTTGAAATACATAGCAAAGTTTGAAAAATATTCTTGGTTTTCTGAGATGCAATAATTAGTTTGGGTGCCACAAATAAAATTAAAATGAAGGGGGAATAAGAAAAGTATGTTTTCAGTGCAGGAGACGCTTTAAGCCAGCAGATTCTGATTAAAAGTAGACCCTGTTGAGCTTTTATCCCTTTCAGCCAGTCTATATCATCTTCTTAGCCAAAATTTGAACAAATGACTGATATTTAAGGCAAAAGCTTACATATTTTTTAACAATCAGTGAAGTGCGCCAGCTCCTAGCTGCAGGCTCTGATATTCAATCTTGTAAAATTTTACCATGACTTTACCAATTCTTATTAAGGTATTAAACCAGAGGATGTACAGGAGGTCTATATGGGAAATGTGTGTACAGCTGGTGAAGGTCAAGCACCGACAAGACAAGCAACACTTGGAGCAGGTAACACAGTTACTAGCAACTTATCTTTGATTACAGTATCACCCCTGAATCAAACATGAAGGGGTCACAAGAAAAAAGGGAAATGATCACCAACTAAAGAAGCTCTTGATTGTTAGACAAATTTTCCTTATCAGCACCTTAGGAAATGTATAGAGAACATCATGGAGAATATACATATTAGTGTAAAGGGTTAAAGCAAAGGAAGGTGAGAGGTACAAAGAAATTTCTGTGAAAGTGTTGATCTTCAGGCTGTCCATGACAGCTTGCCAAATTATCATAAACTTGAAATACTAAGTTTTATCCTCCAGTCTGACTGTTGGCCTTTACAACAGGCAGTCACTATTTCATTGTTCATATTTATACATAATAACCTAACACTAGTTTGAGGAATAGCATTTTTTGTGATGATTCCCAGGCTTACCAATATCAACTCCATGTACAACCATTAACAAAGTGTGTGCATCTGGTATGAAGTCCATCATGATGGCAGCTCAAAGTCTTGCATGTGGAAGTCAGGTTTGGGCTGATTTTTTTTGTGAGTGTGTTTACCAAGAGGTTGTCTTGAAATGGCTCTTTATCTGTATCTGTCTTGGGCCTCCTTCTTACTCTTCTCCAAAGACATCCCTGATCATGCCCTGATGTTATCCAATTCCTTACACCTTTCCGTCCACAATATCCTTTCACACACCAGGTTCATGAATGGTATCATGGAGAATGGAAAAGCCATAATGAGCGTGTCAAAGTTTTTGAGTCAGAAGCATAGGATTTTTTTCTTTAGAATTTGGAAAGGTAATGTTGTGTGAAGGCTGCAATTATAGCAATGCATGTCCAAAGACCTGGTTTTGAGGATTTTCCTGAAGGGAACTTCATTTCTTTTATGCTTTTAAAAGTTTTTGAAATAGCTAGTTAAGACTTAAAAAATTGAAGTTGGTCTGCTGAATGTGAGAAATTGATCAGTTAACATGAGCTGGTGCAAGATAAAAGGTTGGTAGCTATGTAGTCAGAATTATTCCAAGTGGCAAGAAATGCGATCAATTATTTTGTTTTAACTGTTGAAGCTCTGATGCACCAGTGAAATTCTGATGCACTGTTCATTGTAAGTTTTTCTCTCTCATTTTCTATTTGAACATAACATTCTTTCCAGTTCATGTTTGGATTGAATAAAATGATGCATTTGTTGAGTTCAGGTGACTTCAGACTGATTTAGTCACTTGGAATTAAGAATGCTACAGAACCAAGACAATTGAACAAAAAAAGGTGAAAGCATCTCCATACCTTGCTCTGTTTTTCTTATTGCTCATTGTCTTACATGTTTGTTTTATTATATTCTTTACAAAACCATCCTGCAATATAAAATCTTGTTCCCAAAGAAAATATTTTGTACTCATCGACTAAGAAGGAGTGGCAGGTCATGTAATAAAACTGGTGATCAAGTCAGAAAGTTACTTTATCTTGTGCTTTATGTTACTTGTGTCGTCAGGAAGTAATGGTTGCTGGTGGAATGGAGAGTATGTCAAATGTTCCATTTTTAGTTGGGAGAGATCCACCAAAGTATGGAGGACACAAAATGGAGGCAAGTAACATACTGTAAAAGCTCTGAAAAGCCCCTGGAGAACCCTCTTGAGGGCTTATAACTCTGGAAGGCCTATTACCCTGGAGGGCACCCTGACAGGGACCTATTAAGAGAGTGTGGAGGA